CACTCACCTCAGCCTCCCAAAGGCGCGGGATTACAGGCTGAGCCACCGAGCCTGGTAGTTCCAGCTACTTGGAAGGCTGAGGCAGAAGGATCGCCTGAGCCCAGTAGGTCAAGGCTGCAGTGGCCATAAGTGTGCCATTGCACTCCAGCCTGGGTGACTAGAGTGAGACTCCAACTCAAAAAAAAAAGTACTAGTTAGCTAAGTAAGGGTTTATCTTATTTATCTCATTTGGTCAAGCTAGACATAGAGCCCCAAGCAGTATCTGTGATCGTATAGGAGAGAGTATAGAAAATGACAGGGTTTGGAGTCCAACTTGAAGTAGAATCTTGCCTCCATTACTTATAAGCTGTTTGACCTTGAGAAAATCATCTCTGAGCCTCAACTTCACCATCTATAAATCAAAGTTAATCCCAGCTGTCAGAACTGCAGTGAGAATTAACGGAAGTAAGGCCTGCAAACACTTAGTTACACAAAACCTAGTGAGTCATGGTTATTAACAGAGCATAGACTCCAGCTCTGCTAGTGGACCCAGCACAGCAAGTTCTGCAAGACATTGCCCAGCCCAGTCCAGGATCCACCTTGGAGTGGAGAGCCCAGGGCAGAGAAGGAGAGTAGGGTGGACTCACCGTGTTCGGATACAGGAGGCCTCAACTGCATTGATGAGCAGTGAGCGGAAGCCCCCACTTTCTAGAAAGTGCAGGGCATGGATGGTGGCCCCCCCAGGGGAGCAGACATTGTCCTTGAGCTGGCCTGGGTGCTGCTCTGAATCCAGCAGCATCTTGGCAGCTCCCTAGGGCAAGAAGGGCCTGTTAGAGGGGAGAGCTGCTGGTGCACCTTGGGACAGGCTTCCCATGCCCACTGTTCCTGACCAATCCCTATCTCACCTTCCCAACCAACCCCTGCCTCAGCTCAGTGACCCAAAAGAACTCGCATCCGACACTCCTGTCCCAAACATACAGAGGAAAGATACTGACCAGCAAGGCCTGGGCCCCCAGTCGGACTGCCAGGCGCCGTGGCAAGCCCATCTTCACCCCACCGTCGGCCAATGCATCCAGGGCCATGAACGCCTGTGGAGACACTCACTGAGCCCCAGGCCACAGGTACTAGAGGGCCCTCCCAGGGTCTGTTCTTTCTGATGACTGGAAATAGCTCCAAGGGTCAGCCTCCTCCATCAGCCAGCCATGCCCAAGAGGCAGGCCACCGCCTGCCCAAGCCTGCCTGCCAGTCATGTTGCTGCCTAGGTTCCCAGAAGGCTGAGTGAGCAGATAAGGCCTCACATAGGCAGGCCCGCTGCCGCTGAGCCCTGTGACGGCATCGATCAGGTCCTCCTCCACCTCGGTGCAGAAGCCCACGCTGCTCATGAGCTGCTCCAGGAGCTGCCCATCCTCCACCAGGGCGTGGGTACCTGTGGCGTACACTGTGGCACCCTCCCGCACTACCACAGGTGTGTTGGTCATGCAGCGAATCACTTTGGGGGCCGGCTGGAACGCCATCAGCTTCTGGAACAAGAGAGAGAGCCGAGCGAGTGACCAGGGCTCCAGTTCCACCAGCACTCACTCATCAGGGGCCACTCCCAGGCCACCTCTTCCCTCACCCAAGGGGTATCAGGTCTGAGATAGGCACCTTTTCCACAGAGCTGATGGTGACACCGGCCGCACAGGAGACCACGATGTGCCTGGCTTGCACATCAGCCCCGATCTCGTCCAGGATGAAGGGGATGATGTGTGGCTTCACAGCCAGGAACAGGACATCACTGTGCTTCACCGTCTCCTTGTTGCTACGGGTCAGGTTCACACCTATCTTCTGCAAAAGGAGATGCCGGGCTCACAGGGTTGGGGCAGATGGCTAATCCAAGGCCTCCCAGGGGACAGCTGAAAGCCTGCCAAGCCCACTCTGCCAGCTGCAGGCTGGAATTCCTCGCTCCCTGCCCTCAGGGTTCCACCCCTACCCCAGTTGACACAAAGTTTCCCACTGCGCCTACTGGGCAAAACAAGCTTCTCCATGGTAACCAGGAAGTGGCAGTCCCTTCTTCCCCACCAATCTTCTGGCACCCAAGGCACCCCTATGCCAGGTAAGAAGGATCCATGGTGGAAAGTGGCAGGCAAAAGTGACATGCTAGTGCCCAGTGTTGGGGACCACAGCTGAGCCAGGTTCTATCCCAACCTCGGCCACTTGTTCATCAGACTGCATGGCCTCCATGTGCTCCAGAATTTGGCCAGAGGCCACTCATCCCTCTAGGACACCAAGGACCCTCCAGTGCTAGGGACATCAGCCCACTTACACCACAGACACTGCCTGCCACCTGCCTCATTAGCCATCCCCTCCCACGCAGCCCAGCTTTGGGATGATTTGCGATATTACGCTTTTTGGAGAGCAGAGCAACTAACTCACCATGTTCTTCCTCAACACATTCATTCATGCCTCACTAACCGCAAAGTGGCTGTTGTTGTAAATGAGAAAAACTCACTGCAGCTGAGTACTCGAAGGTCCTACAACTTGTCAGTGAAGAAAAATTAGTATGTCTTGGGTAGTTACTATGTGCCAGGTGCTTTCCCCATATAAATTACCTCAGTTAATCCTCAACCACTCTGGTGTCCGGATTCGACCCCCAGTCTGTCTGCCTAGGTGACCCCACCACACCGAGCTGCCCTACAGGAGGTGGAAGGATGTTCCTGGTGGGGAGGTCATAACCAGCCAAAGAGCAGCTCGTGGGCTAGCCAGACTCAGTCCAGCTCAGGTCATCCTTTTCCGGGGCCTTCGCCCTCTTCCCCCCACCTCTCCACCCCACCTACCCTGAGAGCGGACACCGTGGGCAGGTCCATTTCCGGGGAGCTGGCTATTATCTTGTGAGCCGACAGGACGCCTGCAGAAGACAGGGCTTTCAGCCCGGGATCATGGCCGGCCCCGCTCCCGTGCCCTCCGTGGGACAGCAGAATCAAAACCCACAGCCCCCGCTCTAACAGTGCCGGTCTCCCTCTCCCCCAGGCCCCTAGGCGGTCATCAGACGCACTCGCGCCTCTCGTCTACCCCACCGGACGCAAATTTCCCTTTCGTTCATGCTGGCGGCGTGAAGGATGGTTCACAGGCCTAGGGACCGCCCGCGGGTCCGCCGCCCGCCTCGCCGCGCTTGCCTGCCGCCGTGAAGCCCCGCGCCAGCGCACAGGCCAGCTGGCCCGCGCCGATGAAGCCCACGCTCATGGTCCCCGGTTCACGTGCCCAGGCAGGCGCGGGGACCCGCTCAGCAGGCCCGGAGATTTCGCTAGGGGAAGGGCGGACGGTGAAGGGACCCACCAGCGGCCCGAGCGCCGAGCTGCCGCCAGGATGCCGCCCTACTGGTGCCCCACCGGCCGCAAGCCGCAGATGGCGCCCTAGGATCCGTGAGCCCGCCCCGCCAGGGCGGCCAATCCGCGGCCGGGAGCTCAGGGAAGGCCAATCCGCGGCCGGGCCGGGCCGAGTGCCCGCCTCCTGCATTCGCGACTGGCGGGCGGAACTTCGGGCGGGAGCCCGGAAGCCCTTTCCTCCCCGCCAGCCGTTGAGACTGGTTCCGGAGACCGCCGCATCCCACCCGGGGGTCGTCCTGATGCCACCTGGCGCTAAGGGATAAAGCCCAGCCCAGGCCTGGCCAATATTACTTCTGGCGCTGCCCATCAGCCGCCCCTCGTGGCCGGCGGAATTCTGCAGGTTGCCGATTTGGGGGCCTGAACTAAACCCCACCCACGCGGGTTCAGACGAGATCACGGAGAGGCGGCGGCGCAACCGCGGTTCATTCACTTGAACTTGCGTGATTCACGCGAATTGGTCTTAACTGGATCGTAAGTGGGACTCGTTCTTGGTATGAGGTTATCGGCCGCCTAAGTCCTGGCTAAAAGTACAAGCAAGTCTGCCACGCCTCCTCCACAAGCCGGCATGCCCCATCCCCTCCCTGCCCCTTGCGGAAAAGGCTCGGTGGCTCAGCCTGTAATCCCGCGCCTTTGGGAGGCTGAGGTGAGTGGATTGCCTGAGCCCGCGGGTTCGAGACCCGCCTGGGCAGCGAGACCTCATCTCTACAATAAATCAAAAAAAAAATCAGCTGGGCATGGTAGCGTATGCCTGTAATTCCGGCTACTCGGAAGGCTGAGGCGGAAGGATCGCCGGAGCCCAGCAGGTCGAGGCTGCGGTGGCCGGAAGCGGCCACTGCACTCCAGTCTGGGTGACAGAGTGAGACTCCAACTCAAAAAAACAAAACAAAACAAAACAAAAAGCTCCAGAAGCGTCATGTTTCCTTTTCCTTTTTCATCCGTGGTCAGCGAACGTCAGGGGGCTCCGGGAACAAGCGCGGAGAGAAGGGTAGAGGAAGTGATACAGAGACCCGGTAATGTCTGTCCATGTCGTCACAGCCCCCAGAGAAGGGCATGACAAGGGCTCAGGCGCTCCTGTACATTCCTGAACAATATTCCCGAGAGCTAATAAAAGGTGCGCTTCCCCTTATCTTCCAGTAAGTAGCTTCAGGGGATCCTTGACTTCCCTATAGCCTGCGCCCAATCAACGGAAAGGTGCAAATCTACAGTTACTCCCTTTTTCTGAGTGGTTATAAGTTCCAATAATGTAGTATCAGTGTAATCATAATCCTTGTGATTTGGATAGCTTTTGTATCAATCTAATCACAAGTTTGGTGATTTGTATAACTTCTGTGTAATGAAATACAGCATGATGTTTTAGGCCTTGTAAACGCCCTTTATTCTATGGCAAGCTTGATTAACGCTTCTGACTGGGCCCTACTGATGAAATCTATGAGAGACCTCTGATACCTGGCACCAGAAAGTCTGGACGGAAAAATGTCACTGTCGATAAATGCCACTGAAACTCAAGTTCTGTACAATGCTCTGCTGGTCACGTGGCTCATGTATAAGGTACTAACAACTCTGGACTTATTAAGCTGATCTGTAAAAGCTTGGGGGGTGAGCAGAATCATTTTATTATTATTATTATTTTTTTTTTGAGTTGGAGTCTCACTCTGGCGCCCAGACTGGAGTGCAGTGGCTGCTCCTGGCCACTGTAGCCTCGACCCGCTGGGCTCTGGCGATCCTTCCACCTCAGCCTTCCAAGTAGCTGGAACTACAGGTGCGCGCTACCACACCCGGCTAATTTTTTGATTTATTGTAGAGATGAGGTCTCACCAAGT